GTGTCCCTGTGTGTGGACTGTTGTCTGTACATGTCCTGTGTGTAGACTGTTATCTGTACATGTCCCTGTGTGTAGACTGTTGTCTGTATATGTCCTGATGTGTGGACTGTTGTCTGTATATGTCCCTGTGTGTGGACTGCTGTCTGTATATGTCCCTGTGTGGACTGTTGTCTGTATATGTCCCTGTGTGTAGACTGTTGTCTGTATATGTCCCTGTGTGTAGACTGTTGTCTGTATATGTCCTGTGTGTGGACTGTTGTCTGTATTTGTCCCTGTGTGTGGACTGTTGTCTGTATATGCCCTGTGTGTGTGGACTGTTGTCTGTATGTGTCCCTGTGTGTAGACTGTTGTCTGTATATGTCCTGATGTGTAGACTGTTTGTCTGTATGTGTCCTGTGTGTAGACTGTTGTCTGTATATGTCCCTGTGTGTGGACTGTTGTCTGTATATGTCCCTGTGTGTAGACTGTTGTCTGTATATGTCCCTTAATGTGTGGACTGTTGTCTGTATATGTCCTGTCCTAATGTGTAGACTGTTGTCTGTACATGTCCCTGTGTGTGGACTGTTGTCTGTACATGTCCCTGTGTGTAGACTGTTGTCTGTATATGCCCCTGTGTGTGGACTGTTGTCTGTATATGTCCTGTGTGTAGACTGTTGTCTGTATGTGTCCCTAATGTGTGGACTGTTGTCTGTATATGTCCTGTGTGTAGACTGTTGTCTGTATATGTCCTATGTGTGTAGACTGTTGTCTGTATATGTCCTGTGTGTAGACTGTTGTCTGTATATGTCCCTGTGTGTGTGGACTGTTGTCTGTACATGTCCCTGTGTGTAGACTGTTGTCTGTATATGTCCCTGAGACTGTTGTCCCCTGTGTGTAGACTGTTGTCTGTATATGTCCCTGTGTGTAGACTGTTGTCTGTATATGTCCCTGTGTGTAGACTGTTGTCTGTATATGTCCCTGTGTGTAGACTGTTGTCTGTATATGTCCCTGTGTGTAGACTGTTGTCTGTACATGTCCCTGTGTGTGGACTGTTGTCTGTATATGTCCCTGTGTGTAGACTGTTGTCTGTATATGTCCCTGTGTGTGGACTGTTGTCTGTATATGTCCCTGTGTGTAGACTGTTGTCTGTATATGTCCCTGTGTGTAGACTGTTGTCTGTATATGTCCTGTGTGTAGACTGTTGTCTGTACATGTCCCTGTGTGTGTAGACTGTTGTCTGTATATGTCCCCTGTGTGTAGACTGTTGTCTGTATATGTCCCTGTGTGTAGACTGTTGTCTGTATGTATGTCCCTGTGTGTAGACTGTTGTCTGTATATGTCCCTGTGTGTAGACTGTTGTCTGTATATGTCCCTGTGTGTAGACTGTTGTCTGTATATGTCCCTGTGTGTAGACTGTTGTCTGTATATGCCCCTGTGTGTAGACTGTTGTCTGTATATGTCCCTGTGTGTAGACTGTTGTCTGTATATGTCCCTGTGTGTAGACTGTTGTCTGTATATGTCCTGTGTGTGTAGACTGTTGTCTGTACATGTCCTGTGTGTAGACTGTTGTCTGTATATGTCCTGTGTGTAGACTGTTGTCTGTATATGTCCTATATGTTCCTGTGTGTGGACTGTTGTCTGTATGTGTCCCTGTGTGGACTGTTGTCTGTATATGTCCCTGTGTGTAGACTGTTGTCTGTATATGTATATGTGTAGACTGTTGTGTAGACTCCCTGTGTCTGTTGTCTGTCCCTGTGTGTAGACTGTTGTCTGTATATGTCCCTGTGTGTGGACTGTTGTCTGTATATGTCCCTGTGTGTAGACTGTTATCTGTACATGTCCCTGTGTGTAGACTGTTGTCTGTATATCCCCTGTGTGTAGACTGTTGTCTGTATATGCCCCTGTGTGTGGACTGTTGTCTGTATATGTCCCTGTGTGTAGACTGTTATCTGTACATGTCCCTGTGTATAGACTGTTGTCTGTATATGTCCCTGTGTGTAGACTGTTGTCTGTATATGTCCCTGTGTGTAGACTGTTGTCTGTATATGTCCCTGTGTGTAGACTGTTGTCTGTATATCCCTGTGTGTAGACTGTTGTCTGTATATGTCCCTGTGTGTAGACTGTTGTCTGTATATGTCCCTGTGTGTAGACTGTTGTCTGTATATGTCCCTGTGTGTAGACTGTTGTCTGTATATGTCCCTGTGTGTAGACTGTTGTCTGTATATGTCCCTGTGTGTAGACTGTTGTCTGTATATATGCCCCTGTGTTTGGACTGTTGTCTGTATATGTCCCTGTGTGTAGACTGTTGTCTGTATGTGTCCCTGTGTGTAGACTGTTATCTGTATGTGTCCCTGTGTGTAGACTGTTGTCTGTATATGTCCCTGTGTGTAGACTGTTGTCTGTATATGCCCCTGTGTGTTGACTGTTGTCTGTATATGTCCCTGTGTGTAGACTGTTGTCTGTATATGTCCCTGTGTGTAGACTGTTGTCTGTATATGTCCCTGTGTGTAGACTGTTGTCTGTATGTGTCCCTGTGTGTAGACTGTTGTCTGTATATGTCCCTGTGTGTAGACTGTTGTCTGTATATGTCCCTGTGTGTAGACTGTTGTCTGTATGTGTCCCTGTGTGTGTAGACTGTTGTCTGTATATGTCCCTGTGTGTAGACTGTTGTCTGTATATGTCCCTGTGTGTAGACTGTTGTCTGTATATGTCCCTGTGTGTAGACTGTTGTCTGTATATGTCCCTGTGTGTAGACTGTTGTCTGTATATGTCCCTGTGTGTAGACTGTTGTCTGTATATGTCCCTGTGTGTAGACTGTTGTCTGTATATGTCCCTGTGTGTGTAGACTGTTGTCTGTATGTGTCCCTGTGTGTAGACTGTTGTCTGTATATGTCCCTGTGTGTAGACTGTTGTCTGTATGTGTCCTGTGTGTAGACTGTTGTCTGTATATGTCCCTGTGTGTAGACTGTTGTCTGTATGTGTCCCTGTGTGTAGACTGTTGTCTGTATATGCCCCTGTGTGTGGACTGTTGTCTGTATATGTCCCTGTGTGTAGACTGTTGTCTGTATATGTCCCTGTGTGTAGACTGTTATCTGTATATGTCCCTGTGTGTAGACTGTTGTCTGTATGTGTCCCTGTGTGTAGACTGTTGTCTGTATATGTCCCTGTGTGTGGACTGTTGTCTCTATATGTCCCTGTGTGTAGACTGTTATCTGTATATGTCCAAATACTACCTTGGCTCTATATCAAACAACACACGTAACGCTATACGTTAATACCAAATACTACCTTGGCTCTATATCTAAGAACACACGTAACGCTATACTTTAATGCCAAATACTACCTTGGCTCTATTTCTAACAACACACGTAACGCTATACGTTAATGCCAAATACTCCCCTGGCTCGATATCTAACAACACACGTAACGCTATACGTTAATGCCAAATGCTACCTTGGCTCTATATTTAACAACACACGTAACGCTATACGTTAATGCCAAATACTACCTTGGCTCTATATCTAACAACACACACGTAAAGCTATACGTTAATGCCAAATACTACCTTGGCTCTATATTTAACTACCACACGTAACGCTATACGTTAATGCCAAATACTCTCCTGGCTCTATATCTAACAACACACGTAACGCTATACGTTAATGCCAAATACTGCCTTGGCTCTATATCTAACAACACACGTAACGCTATACGTTAATGCCAAATACTACCTTGGCTCTATATTTAACAACACACGTAACGCTATACGTTAATGCCAAATACTCTCCTGGCTCTATATCTAACAACACACATAACGCTATACGTTAATGCTAAATACTACCTTGGCTCTATATCTAACAATACACGTACGTTTACGTGATGATGTATGTTGTTTTTGAGAAATCCATGAGTATTGACATTATATATGTAACTGAAGTATTTTTGAGTTGATGTATCTGATGTATCTTAAACAGGGTTGACAATCCACATCTTTCTATGATCGACTGTTATGTACGTGTGAGGAAGACAGGCTATGTGTTGTGACATGTTTATTTTTTAGCCTTATTATCATTGCATAGGTTTCAGAGTGTTGTTTCAGAATGTTGTTTGGATTAAGAGTTGTTTATGAAAGTGATATACATCGAATATGCCTTGCCAAACTGTGATATTAGAATCCCCAGTATTCAGAACTGTGCTTGTAAGTCTAAGAAGTCACGTGATGTGCATGACCAAGTTTTTGACACAATGCCGCTCCGAGACGTAATACGTCCCTGCAACACACTTGCTGGTAGAGCAGCCAGGTAATCATTAAGCGTGACGTAATACGTCCCTGCAACACACTTGCTGGTAGAACAGCCAGGTAATCATTAAGCGTGACGTAATACGTCCCTGCAACACACTTGCTGGTAGAACAGCCAGGAAATCATTAAGCGTGACGTAATACGTCCCTGCAACACACGTACTGGTAGAACAGCCAGGTAATCATTAAGCGTGTGTAGTGAAATTTCCACACCTGGCTGTTCTACCAGCAAGTGGTCCCCCTCTCGTACAAAATAGCGAAAAGTGACAACAAAATAATGGTCGTCTGTTAAACAACTTTTTTTATTCGGTTGTACAAAATTATGAGAAAAATCTTCAGAGTTGGTCTGTGACTGTACAAAATTTGGTTTTGTTGCAATTATTATATTTTGTGTCAGTGAGCAATTCATGGTCTCAAATGAAATCAAACGGAGTGTAGTCGTGGTGAGTTCTATCAGTATTTCTTGACTATTGTTGATAACTATTCTCATGAATTTCATAGCGTTGTTGATACTGACATTGATGGCGCGGTAGAAAAGATAAACGCATTATTTGATTACTGTTTTAATGCTATCATAAATATAACCCATGAGTATACATAAAATGAACAAAACATATAAACAGCAACCCAAGTGGTTTGAAAGTGAATGCCCATATATATAATCTGTTAAATAAATTCAGGAAAACAAACAACAGTGTACATTGCCAATTTTCATTGTACTAGATTTTGAAAAACTATTAAGGGTGACTGTCAAAATATTCATGATGAGAAACAAGGCATTACACCGCAATCATGGTATGAATACTTTAAACAACTTCTTAACCCAGATGTGAGCATTAATAATGATTTCAATGATCATGTAACCGGCTTTCTCTCAAATCACAATATGGAGGAGTGTGAATATTGCAGTGAGTCTGATATTAAAATGGCGACCACTATAACAGAACAAGAAATTTTACGGGCGATAACTAATCTGAAGAATGGTACGGCTCCAGGGGAAGATGGCATTTCCGCCGAAGCCATAAAAGAAACATGTACCATTATTCTACCTCTTTTAAATAAGTTATTTGACAGAATTCTTGATCCTTCCCATCATCGTGGAAATCAGGGTAAGTGGTACCTCTTTATAAGGCAGGCCACAAACTGACCCAGGAAACTATAGAGGAATTGCAATACTTGATGTAATCAGAAAACGTTTCTTAACGATAATAAATGTCAGAAGTAAGTTTCGGATTTATTTCGGAATCCCAGGCGGGCCTTACAAAAGGTTATACCACTAGTGGTCAAGCCTTTATCCTACATTCAGTAGCCCATAAGTATATAAGAAAGAAAAGGGACAAATTTTATTGAATCTTTGTCATCTTTCAAAAAAGCGTTCGACTCTGTACACAGGAATTATTTATGTATCTGCTATTACAAAGAGGTATTCATGGAAAGATACATAATGTACTGAAAACTATATATCAAAATGTAAAAGTGTCACGTGGAGTGCGTCTGGGGTGCATATTGTCACCAGCACTTTTTATAATGTATATTGATGAACTTGAAAATGACATATTAATATTTTATACCAGTAGCATATTCATTGATAATCTCCACAACCATCATCTATACTTCTGTTTGCAGATGATGATGCAATATTTGCAGATACTGTTTTAAATCTTCAGGAAAACATGATATTCTAGTAACATACACGTGCTGTGAGAAATGGGGATTAGAAATATATCCTAGGAAAACGAAAGTTGTAGTTTTCAAACAGGGGAATCCCTATATAAACATGGTAAATGGTATATCAAGGGCGAAAAATTAGAAGTAACGTCTTATTATAAATATCTAGGCATTGTCTTTTAATACAGGAACATTTTAACTAAAGCGTTTGAGATATTATCCCAACAGGCTGAAAAGGCATTATTCCCAATCAAACGTTTCATGAACAAATTAAAAACCTTGTCTGTGAATCGGCTTTCAAGCTATTTGAAGGGAAAATTAAGCCGATTTTGTTGTATGGCGCAGAATTATGGGGTTGGGAAACCCGAAAACCTATTGAAAAGGTCCACACAAGCTTTTTAAAAAATATTTTACAATTTGGCTCTAGATCCCCAAACAAAGCAGCTTTAGCTGAGTGCGCGCGATATCCGTTAATTTTGTACGCTAATGTTAGATTACTTATATTTTGGATCATGTTTCTCAGATATACCAAGAAGTGTCATGAAATGTTAAAACGATTTGGCGAATCTGGCGACAAAAACTGGGTTTCGAAAGTTCAGGAAACTGCTTTGCAAATATGGATTTGACTATTTATGGACATCCCAGAATATTGATAACAAAAAATACTTTCTAGAAATTTTCAGCAACGATGTAAAGATGTATATTTCCAAGAGTGGAGCAACGCATCATCCATATCAAACTGATCAAACAGAACTACTACCCTGACAACTGTTTATTTATCAATAATGTCGGAGATGCCTGGCAAAACCGCGTTGTAATATATATATGGTTTCAATATGAATTCCTATAATTATTACACAAAATTAGATACATCTTGCTCTTATTGCAAAGCACAGATAGAAGATGAACTCCATGTCATCCTGGTATGCCCAGCTTATAACGATTTGCGTATCAAATGTATTCCAGCCTATTATTATCACCACCCACATATGTATGAACTGATCTACATGTTTGCCAACGTTGATAATGATAAGCTATTTAACCTTTAGTTTGTATTGATAAGGTGTTTTATTGATAAGGTGTTTAAACTAAGAAATAATGCAAAAGCATCATGTTAAATACAAATGAATCTTGTTAGTGGCGCAGTATGTATGTTCACCCATATTATAGACATGTTGTACTGCTGCCCCATGAATATTTATACGACATACAAGCTGTACCTACATCTTAAAAGTACCCCGAACCCTGCCCGAGGATTTATCACACAGCTCACTTACGGTGTACCCATGCTAACTCCGTTCTGCGCATGACGGAAGTGTTATCTGGGTTGCTTGAAGAGGGTGTTGACGTAACACATATCAGCCTGTGAGTTCCAGTACCGGTAATGGTGGTATCTTCTGCAACTGTTCTTGTGGTAGAACTGGAATCCATTCTCCCTCAGGCTCATGTAGGCATTGTACATATCCTGGAAATGATTTCTGAATGGTTCGTTTGGGAAGATGTGCCACTCCACCAGAAACTGGCGAATTTGGGGAAACAGCCCGTCCTTCATGATGTTGGCTGTCACAGCCCACTCGTACACCTCGATATCGATCTTCAATACATCGATCACACGCTGCCAATGAAAACAGACACAGGTCACGTTACATACCCAGAGTGCTGAAACAGTTTGGTAATAATGTGACCAGATATAGAGATATAGATTTTCAAACGGATGGTTAATAGCAGAGACCGTATAATAAACTCAAGGGCGAAAGAAATAATGTTTTATCTTTTATCGTAACTTTGTATTTTTTTCAATGAAAAACGGGTTGAAACAACTTCCCCGAACGCAACCAACATACACTACGTATTGAATTGCACGAGATTCATGTAATTTGTGTAAAATGTTAAATTTGCACCGTGTTTTGCGAAATCCCTTCGTAAAAAGCCGTATTGAATTCAGGTATAAAATGTGTAGAGAAATTATGTATTCCATTATCACATCGTATGGTAGAAAGGAAACATGCCGAGGCTAACAGCACAGCAGAGAGAACGAGTTATTGGTTTGCTGGATTTGGGAGCGACGCAGTCCCATGTTGCAAGGTTGATTAACTGTTCAACGCGAACAATACTGAGATTGGTGAGCCGTTACAGACGGACGGGTGACACGCCGGCAAAGGCCTTGAAGTGGACGCCCAAGAGTCACGCACGCACGCACGCACGCACGCACGCACGCACGCAGAGCTCGCACGCACGCACGCACGCACGCAGAGCTCGATCTCCCGACTTGTCCCCGATTGAACACCTGTGGGACCACCTTAGACGACAAATCAACAAGTGACAACTACCCATACAGACAAGAGAGGCGTTTGCACAGGCCCTACAGGAAGAATGGCGGAGAATCCCGATACATGTGATCAGACGACGACATTATCCGCTAGACGTCGTGTTCATGCTTGCATACAAGCCAGGGGTGACCACACGATATTAACTGTATTAAAATGTCTGTCTTCACTTTAGAGCCGGTGATGATGAAACAGATGGTGCTCGAATACCGGACAGTCAACTGTCATTGATTAAATTGTACACTGTGTGATCATTCATATCTGTAGTTAACACTTTCATCATTCAGAATGTTGTAAAACCATTAATGTTCCAAATATGATTGTTACATTTCCCAAATATGAGTTTGTTGTTTTGTGACATGTTAAAAAAGCGAGGTGACGTTTCTTTCGCCCGTGAGTTTAGATCATATATGGTCTCTGTTAATAGTTAACTTGATAGTTCGGGTACAAAGTATTTGTTAAAGGATCATGTGTGATTGAAAAACATTCAGTATTTCAGTATTTCAGGTACCGTTTGTATACAACAGTATTTCAGGTACCGTTAGTATACAACAGTAGTTCAGGTACAGTTAGTATAGAACAGTATTTCACCTACACTTAGTATACAACAGTAGTTCACCTACACGTAGTATACATCAGTAGTTCACCTACACTTAGTATACAACAGTAGTTCACCTACACTTAGTATACAACAGTAGTTCACGTACACTTGGTATAGAACAGTATTTCACCTACACTTAGTATAGAACAGTATTTCTGGTACACTTAGTATACAACAGTATTTCAGGTACACTTGGTATAACTATTCACAACAAATTCCAATGACAACGTCAACGTAGGACTACAAACCTTCTCATGCCCCAGTAGCTTCATAATGGACTTCAGCGTTCGGACCTTCCAGCTGCTGGAATGACGGACGTACCAGTCAAAGTTGGGGTGGAATGAGTCGGTGTCGGAGGCACCTAGACCCATGTTTTTGAAGAACACCCCTTCGGAATGTCGGTGGTCTGTTACCCCCATACTGAAACAGTGAGTGAGTGAGTGAGTGGGTGAGTGGGGTGAGTGGGGTGAGTGAGTGGAGTGAGTGAGTGAGTGAGTGAGTGAGTGAGTGAGTGAGTGAGTGAGTGAGTGAGTGAGTGAGTGAGTGAGTGAGTGGTGGTGGGTGAGTGGGTGAGTGAGTGAGTGAGTGAGTGGAGAGTGAGTGAGTGAGAGAGGTGGAGTGGGTGGGTGGGTGGGTGGGTGGGTGGGTGGGTGGGTGGGTGGGTGGGTGGGTGGGTGGGTGGGTGGGTGAGTGGGTGAGTGAGTGGGTGAGTGAGTGGGTGAGGAGGGAGGGGAGGGAGGGAGGGAGGGAGGGAGGGAGGGAGGGCGTGTCAGCTGCTGTTGATGGATAGTTTAAGAAGTTTTAGTCCAGCACAAACGTAAGTTAGCTACGACACTGTTATCCTGTGTATTTGTATGTGGCAGTGTTATTCATGGATAAAAACTCTGAATATGTTTAATTTTGATGGAAAAAAATAATCTCATTAAAAGCTACAAGGAGCCTCAGTGAGATGGGAGATTCAGAACTTTGAAGAATTCTGGACTTGCTTTATTTAGGGCAAAAGCATTGCAGAAGGGGCTCGGCGAATGGGATACACTATGCGGTTCGGAGACTGTGAGACAAGAGACCAATATCGGTATACATGTATGGGCTCTGGTGGGACAGACTATTCATGGTCGAACAGGGTATCAAGTGTTTTACATTATCTCTGCTGGAATTCAAGGGGAGGGGGAGGGGTGTCAGTGGTGGCCTATATTTAGATTTGTACCATGCTTAGATTGAGCGCTCCTAGTATTGCATGATCCAGTATAGTCTGACCAAATCCTTCAACGGGCTGATTATAGTGAACACGTAACATTTCAAATAACGACTTTCATACATTAACCGCAGGTGGCAAATGATATATGGTAAAGACCTACAACCAGGCTGACATGCGTTTTGTTGTTGATGACCTACAGCGTTCGTTAGGGATGCTCTCGGGTGATAGTTCAGGATGGTGGACAACAGACGGAAGACAAGAGTAGATTTGAATACAGCGGCAGCCATGTTTATTATGGTTGGGGTGAGGGTGACTTTGTGTTCATAATGGATTCTAATGTCTGTAAACTTGGGCTATTTAGCTGAATAATTCCAATTCTACTTTAATTTTGTACTCGTTCACTCACATATCCGAATTTACAGAGTGAACAGTTTTTGCTGACAAAATCCGATCTAATATGTCAATTCTAGGGGATTCCCCAAATTCACAACGAGGCGCTCCTTGCTGGTACGAAACCCAGTTTGTTTGGTGGCTGAAGCACACTGTCCCGCGGGACTACATGAGCTAATTAAAACACGGCTTGGCGACTTCCGGTTTTGTGTCCCATCAGCGGACATTTGGAGTTTAGTCGGCTCCGCCGGTTGCTATGGTGATTGCAAATTCAAAATGGATGTCTTAGTATACCAGCCTTTACTTAAATTGAACTGCTTTTATTCGTTATTATAACCTTACAAAGATACAGATATATTATGGAGATGGATGGTCATACTTATCACCAGGACTTCCACACGAACACCAACCTTGGGTCAAAGCTGTACACAGTGCACCCTCTTTCTGCCATCGCGTCATCGAAGCTGAAGTCATTGTCTATACTGAAATGGTAGAGTCCAGATTAAAAGAGATCCCGGATGTCGGACTAATGCACCTAATGAAGATTGTTTTAGAGAACATGCCGTTTGTGAGCCAGTACTATTACAATATGAACATCACATAAACACTCTCTCTCCTTAAAACTATAATGATATTCGCTCTCTCAAATCCATCTACTAATTCACTCACTCTCCTCTATTTCAGCTATCTCTATTAATGTCATCTCTTATGTAGTTTCAAAGAAAACATTTCGTTCGTGAGCCTATATTATCATAATCTGAACATCATATATACACTGTCACTCTCCTTAAAACTATCATTAATAGCTCTTTCAATCAATCCACTAACTCACCCGAAAACACTCTTAATTCACTCCACTCCACTCCACTCCTCTCCACTCCACTCCACTCCACTCCACTCCACTCCACTCCACTCCGCTCCTTTCCTCTCCACTACACTCCACTCACCCAAAGGAGTACACAAGACAGGGGTCCCTTGGTTTGTAGTCCTCGTCCCAGCACACCGGCCAGTTGCCCATGAATTCCTTGTTCTGACACTGGTAGCCGTCAGCGCTGTCCATGTCCCTGAAACACCCGACCACCACATGGTGCTGCTTTACAAGTATACTGTTACCGTAACAGATTGTTTCTAACAATGAACCCGAATCTCCCTTCCCCCAGCTACCCCGAGAATGTCCCCCAGTAAATCAGACTCACCATTCTATTAGACACGCCCACTGCCACCACAGTGATGCGTTCGTTCGAGGCGTTTCACCTGAAATGGAAAACAATTAAAAATGGGTTTTGATGCTGTTTTGTGTTCGTTGATTGTTGACTTTCTTATAATGTATAATGTTCTGATCTCAATCCTAAGATGGAGAAATGACCTAACGCAACACCATTGAGGATGTTAACTAGTATTTATACTGTTAGGTTTACGGAAGTCAAGAGGATCAATACTTGGATACTCCAAGCTTGACTTCACTTGGCCTAATTGTTATGAATAGGTTATCAGATTAAGTCAGGAGTACGAAGTCACATTTTCTTGGAGGTACATACCGTTCATGATTTTTCTTTTCACTTCAAATTACATTCAATGACCTGCCTCTCTTGTGGCACTAAACCACATTCACTCACTCACATTTCTATACCATCACCTGCCTCTCTTGTGGCACTAAACCACATTCACTCACTCATCTTTCTATACCATCACCTGCTTCACTTGTGGCACTAAACTTCATTCATTCACCTTTCTATACCATCACCTGCCTCTCTTGTGGCACTAAACCACATTCACTCACTCACCTTTCTATACCATCACCTGCTTCACTTGTGGCACTAAACCACATTCACTCACTCACCTTTCTATACCATCACCTGCCTCTCTTGTGGCATCAAACCACATTCACTCACTCACCTTTCTATACCATCACCTGCTTCTCTTGTGGCACTAAACGACATTCATTCACCTTTCTATACCATCACCTGCATCTCTTGTGGCATCAAACGACATTCACTCACTCACCTTTCTATACCATCACCTGCATCTCTTGTGGCATCAAACGACATTCACTCACTCACCTTTCTATACCTCACCTTTCTATTACCATCACCACCTGCATCTCTTGTGGCATCAAACGACATTCACTCACTCACCTTTCTATACCATCACCTGCATCTCTTGTGGCACTAAACGACATTCACTCACTCACCTTTCTATACCATCACCTGCATCTCTTGTGGCATCAAACGACATACACTCACTCACCTTTCTATACCATCGCCTGCTTCTCTTGTGGCACTGAACGACATTGAATCACCTTTCTATACCATCACCTGCTGCACTTGTGGCACTAACATATTCACTCACCTTTCCATACCATCACCTGCCTCTCTTGTGGCACTAAACGACATTCACTCACTCACCTTTCTATACCATCACCTGCATCTCTTGTGTTATCAAGCGACATTCACTCACTCACCTTTCTATACCATCACCTGCATCTATTGTGGCACTAAACGACATTCACTTACTTACCTTTCTATACCATCACCTGCCTCTCTTGTGGCATCAAACGACATACACTCACTCACCTTTTTATACCATCACCTGCTTCTCTTGTGTCATCAAACGACATTTACTCACTCACCTTTCTATACCATCACCTGCCTCTCTTGTGGCATCAAACGACATTCACTCACTCACCTTTCTATACCATCACCTGCATCTCTTGTGTTATCAAGCGACATTCACTCACTCACCTTTCTATACCATCACCTGCCTCTCTTGTGGCATCAAACGACATTCACTCACTCACCTTTCTATACCATCACCTGCATCTCTTGTGTTATCAAGCGACATTCACTCACTCACCTTTCTATACCATCACCTGCATCTCTTGTGGCACTAAACGACATTCACTTACTTACCTTTCTATACCATCACCTGCATCTATTGTGGCACTAAACGACATTCACTTACTTACCTTTCTATACCATCACCTGCAACTCTTGTGGCACTAAACGACATTCACTTACTTACCTTTCTATACCATCACCTGCCTCTCTTGTGGCATCAAACGACATTCACTTACTCACCTTTCCATATCTCACACAGGTCAGGGGTGGTTGGGATCAAGATCGGCAAGTTCATCACTGCAATAATTGTAATTATTACGAAGCAAACGAGGGTGAGCAGGAGCCGGAGACTCTCACGTGACTTGACCTCATTCCAAACTGTGCTGGCCAAATGGACGAATGGTCGGAACTTACGTAACATTCTGCGTCTAAATAACTGTAAAAGAGAATAACAGGAATCACACTTGTAGTCAACATACACTGGCCCAAAAAAGAAACGCATAGGTGAAAATCCAGTGTTATCAGTGATTCCTTAATAACTTAAATTACACAAAAAGTAATGATAATAGAGCAATAGAAATTCACACAGGTATTGGGACATGTGTATCCAAAAACATACAGTCATTCACAGTGGTATTGAGAGTCTCTGTTTTGATGGCACGGTCACAAAGTCAGTCGGATCCGCCGTTGTGGGATTCTTCTCCACTCATCCTGCAACGCATCGACAAGCTGTTGACGTGTCTGTGGTTGCGGCTGTCGGCGTCGTACACGTTGATCCAATTGGTCCCACAAATGTTCAATTGGGTTAAAATCCGGAGATTTTGAAGGCCATGGAAGAACTGTAATGTTGTTGATGGCAAGGAAATCTGTTGTAATGCGTGCTGTATGCGGTCTTGCGTTGTCATACTGGGAAATTTCTCTTCTAGCGTCAATTACGGGAATAACATGACGTACCAGGATTTCATCACGATAGCGCACAGCATTCAAATTCCCTTGGACATGCACCAGCTCTGTTCTGTCATTCCCAGATATTCCCGCCCACATCATTACACATCCGCCTCCGTTTCTGTCGACCTCACGAACACACTGTCGAGCATATCTTTCATTTCGACGTCTGTAAATCCGCATCCTGCCATCATGTCGATACAGCATAAACCGCGACTCGTCGCTGAACCAGATCCTCCTCCAGTTCAAGACGGTCCATGGCCGAACGTTCCTGCTCCATTGAGGACGTGCACGACGATGGTGGTGTCGCAGAACAGGTTCTGTAGGTGGTCGCATCGGTCGGATTCCATGCTCTCTTAGGCGATTCCTGATGGTTTGTGCAGAGACTCAACGCAGCCCAGGAACATTGTCGGCGGTGTACGCTGCAGTGACTGTCCGATTTCGAAGATGAAACACCCGGATGAAGCGGTCTTGCGCTGGAGTTGTCACCATTGGTCTCCCACTCCTAGGACGATCTCTGGTCGAGTTGTGCTGCGTGTAGCGCTGCCAGAGACGGGAAATCGTACTCTGCCTCACGTTTAGATGTCTGGCAACTGATGACTGGCTTTCTCCAGCTTCCAAGTGTTCAATGGCTCTGTTTCTGCTTTCGTCGTTTAGTCGTGGCATCTTGAGGGTTGCATATACAGAATTTCGTAGAATGAATCGCAACAGGACTGCTGGCTTTTTATACCCATCAGTATCAAGATTCAGATCCCGAATTTGCACGTGCATCATGCTTTCAGGATTTTTCTACATGCAGATTATACGGGCATTTTTTCAAGGTGCTGTGGTTTGGCGAATAATCACCAAAGGTTGTTTTTGCGTGTGTTGGATAATTGTATGGGCTATATTCACACTTAATATTAACATTGACAGTCATTCCATGCCATATTTTTCGAAACAATCTCCTTTGAAGATCAGAATTCAGCTATGCGTTTCTTTTTTGGGCCAGTGTACAATCGCGTCATCGAAACTGAAGTCATTGCATATACTGTAACAATAAGGTCGATATTGGTCCCGCATTTGAGCATCATGTATACACTCGCCAAGTATGTCAGATCTCTCTTCAATTACTCGGGGGCGGTGGGGTAGCCGAATGGTAAAGGCGTCCGCTCGTCACGCCGAAGACACGGGTTCGATTCCCTACATAGGCAAAATTGGTGAAGCCCATTTCCGCTGTGATATTGCTGGAATAATGCTAAATGCGGCATAAGACTAAACTCACCCACTCACTCACTTGACATACTCGACTGCACACCAGGGAGTAAAAAAAAATATACTGTTGTCCACAGTATAACCCATCCAGACACAACCTACACGACTGTAGTCCACAGTATAACCCATAAAGAGACAACCTACACGACTGTAGTCCACAGTATAACCCATCCAGACACAACCTACACGATTGTAGTCCACAGCATAACCCATCCGAGACACAACCTACACGACTTCAGTCCACAGTATAACCCATCCAGACACAACCTACACGACTGTAGTCCACAGCATAACCCATCCAGACACAACCTACACGATTGTAGTCCACAGTATAACCCATCCAGACACAACCTACACGACTGTAGTCCACAGTATAACCCATCCAGACACAACCTACACGACTGTAGTCCACAGAATAACCCATCCAGACACAACCTACACGACTGTAGTTCACGGTATAACCCATAAAGACACAACCTACACGACTGTAGTCCACAGTATAACCCATCCAGACACATCCTACACGATGGTAGTCCACAGTATAACCCATCCAGACACAACCTACACGACTGTAGTCCACTGTATAACCCATCCAGACACAACCTACACGATTGTAGTCCACAGTATAACCCATCCAGACACAACCTACACGATTGTAGTCCACAGTATAACCCATAAAGATACAACCTACACGACTGTAGTCCACAGTATAACCCATCCAGACACAACCTACACGACTGTAGTCCACAGTATAACCCATCCAGACACAACCTACACGATTGTAGTCCACAGTATAACCCATCCAGACACAACCTACACGATTGTAGTCCACAGTATAACCCATAAAGATACAACCTACACGACTGTAGTCCACAGTATAACCCATCCAGACACAACCTACACGACTGTAGTCCACAGTATAACCCATCCAGACACAACCTACACGATTGTAGTCCACAGTATAACCCATAAAGACACAACCTACACGACTGAAGTCCACAGTATAACCCATCCAGACATAACCTACACGACTGTAGTCCACAGTATAACCCATATAGACACAACCTACACGACTGTAGTCCACAGTATAACCCATATAGACACAACCTACACGATTGTAGTCCACAGTATAACCCATATAGACACAACCTACACGATTGTAGTCCACAGTATAACCCATCCAGACACAACCGACACGACTGTAGTCCACAGTATAACCCATCCAGACACAACCTACACGACTGTAGTCCACAGTATACCCCATAAAGACACAACCTACACGACTGTAGTCCACAGTATAACCCATCCAGACACAACCTACACGATTGTAGTCCACAGTATAACCCATCCAGACACAACCGACACGACTGTAGTCCACAGTATAACCCATCCAGACACAACCTACACGATTGTAGTCCACAGTCCCAGGTAGCATGCCATCATCGGCCCGACATCGGCCCGACGTCGTGTGCAATATCGGCCCGACGTCGGCAAACTTCATCGGGCCGATGAAGTTTTGTTCATCGTATAGACGTCGGCCCAACGTTGGCAAACTTCAATGGCCCTGTATCGGCCCTGCATCGGCCCTACGTCGGCTCAACGTCGGCATACTTCATTGGCACTGCATCGGCCCAACGTCGTCATTTTATAGGCACTGCAATATTAAACTAACGGCAAAAGAAACGATACCAAGTCGAAAAAACTGGCATTACAAAACGACAAACCACCATTGTGTAAAAGGAAAGTGAATTTTGATAACAGGTGTATGGGCAACATGCATGTGCATACACATGCCCATACACCTGTTAGGCTGTTATTAAAATTCACTTTCCTTTTACACAATGGTGGTTTGTCGTTTTGTAATATCAGTGATTTCGACTTATCATCGTTTTCTTTTTACCCGTTAGTTTAGTTGCTCACTTCACTTCTCAACGGTGAATACATATTTGATAGCACGTACCACAATTCATAAATGAATACTATCTTAAATGTGTATCAAAACATATATGTAAATGTGAAGAAACATCCCCTAAACATATCATGTTTTTAAATCAATTTATTCATATGAATTTGTATGGTTCTAGAAACAGTGTGTTCTATGAACGTTTGGTTATAAAATTCAGTAACCACCAAAAAGGCTTCTGAAAACGTTCAGGAAACGTTGTAATAACATTTTCTGTCAAGATATGGATTTAACTTTTCAGTAAAACACTAACCGTTAACAATAAGGTTACATGTCTATAGAAAATAGACATTGTTACTCTTAACAAGGAACATAAAAAACAGAATGGCAGACATGTAGTCAACACTCTTTATTAATTTCTTTCAGAAAACGCGTACACTTTTCGAGATTATTTCAGAAGCTTCTTCTTTGGTTTCGACTTTATCCATTTTTCTGAAATATAGAAAACAAATGTATAGTATGTGTATTAAGTCAAATCAAGAGACAATAATCAGTTAATGAAGTCTTCCAGCACATATGTATATGCAAGTGTTTGATGGACACCAGCACACAATGGAAAATAATGGAAATCCTTGAATATATATATATAATATTATCAAATCACACTGCATAGCAACCACTACCCCACCACTCTTGTTGGTTAGAGGCTGAGGGCAGGTACAAATCCATTTTTTGCAATAAAATGCCAAAACGTCATCAACAAGTATATAGACAATGATATTTAACAGATGCACTTACGTTTACTGATTCACAGCTCCTGGATTATTTGATGTAATCCTCAATAAATCCATCACTTCTGTTTGCATCTGCCGGAATTCTTGTGTCTCATATTAACCCTTGCTGCAACAAAAATAACAGTGTTCCACATTATAACAAGTTACAACTTGAACTAGATTCCCCAAGCATATATAAATCTAGTTAGTCCGATGCTGAAATATATTGTGTAATAATTATAGCCTACAGTTTTTGGGGTCAACGTGTGTAGATTTAACACCAACGTGTATAAAGTTGGGTTGGAAATAACTCTGCCCCTTTACAACAGACATGGATTACTGGACAGCGCTTCTATACATTCTAACCTGGAATACAAACTTGAATTGATATATTAAATAGCTGTAACTAGCTACATGATTCACGTCTTACACGCGGGACAGTTACTGCTGCAGTATGATTTCGTTGCGAGCATTGTAACCAGATTCGTTCAGTTTTCGATCACTATATTTTTTTCTCATTGGCAAAATGTTTCGGTGAACCAAGTAAACCATAATAAATTTATTTGGTCTACATATCCTGAACAAAGACTAAGTAAATTTGAATAATTAATACTGTATCATGAAAAATCCATGGTGATCGAAAACCGAATGAACATTGCCGAGGACCGGTCATCGCCAACTCCCCGTTATAGCGCGGGAAACATATTTATTTCTGGCTCTCGTTTCCAAGAGAAATATAAATGTCCGAAAATGATAAACTGATTAGTTTGGGGAAAATTGAAGAATACACAATGTAAACACTTTACTTTGATAATATAGACCTAGCATTTTACTGAAAATAACGTGGGAATGTTAGACAAGCAAAACCACAACAACCATGGGGATGATTTAGTCAGCGTTACAGTAACTTACCAAGTATGCTTCGGTCATTTCTGACTGAACTTTTATTTTAAATAACGGGATACTTAGACTACGACAGTAACTAATAGCCTACAGTCAGGTGGACCAGAAAGTATTTGATTCCCCATTTTCGTGTTATAAGTTTGATGGAACTTTTCCCACCGACTGAAGTGAGCGAACTTTTCATAGCTTAGAAATTTGATAGTAAGGTGTAATGTTAAATTAAAAAATATTTATTTCAGAAATAACATGGAACAAAATTAATGTCGATAAGTGTCACTGGCTTGTGAGCTGTGCATACGCTTACTAGATCGAAAACCGAACGTAATAGCGACAAATGTCCGCCTGACATGAACTCTGGTTAAGAACATACTGCTTGCCATTGATAGCTGAATAAAGTTTTGTATCCAACATTAATATGGTGCAAACTCCCTTAGGTCTCCTTCACAACAACATACATAATACTTTCTGTTGGAAGCCTAACAACACTGAATCTAACAGATCGTGTACGGCTGCTCAAAACATCGCGATTTCTGAGTAGCACGATCGAGTGAATATCAAAATGTGGGACACCTGCAGTTTACGGGTCCCCAGACCCGGAAGTAGAAATGTATTCTTTATAGCTCGCGCTTTGCGCGAGCACGCGCCGAAGGCGCATTTGCTGCCTTCGGCAGTAAGTGACGCGCGTAGCGCGTCATATATATAGATAGAGAAGCACGCGAGAGCGGGCTGATCTCCGTTAGGAGACATTTTAGACGAAATTAGAGGTCATTTTCGTGTTCACTGGCAAAAGTTTAATTTCGTCTGAAAGACGATAGTTTTAAACACGAATTTTAGTAATGCTCCAAAACATCAATCCAATCGTTAGTAATCAAGGGGGAAATCCCGATGACGTTCCTTTTATTTGATTGGTCAGTTGTGGACGCACGTGTCGAATGTTACAAATAAGGTAGTGGGTTACTACGACTGCCACAACTTTAACGCGCACGGTTGGTGAGTTGTATTTTGCTTGTCGCTTGATTTCAATCTTGTTTATTTGACTTGCTTAGCTATGGCTGTAAGGAGAATGGTGTATGATGATTTGTATGAGCTGTGTAGAGATGAGAGAAAGTTGATGGATTGGTTGGAAGCGTTTGGTTTGATTGGAAATTTCAGTGGGAAGTGTGTGAAGTGTGACAGTGGGAGTATAGGAAAGCGAAAGGATTCGAGTCGGAGTGAGGGTTATGTGTGGCGTTGTTCAAATAAAATATGCAATCATAAAATTGTAGCAAGGCGTGATTCTTGGTTTTTTAAGTCTCATTTGTCCGTTAGTGAAATTATGAAATTGACATTTTATTGGGTTTATCAAGTGAGAGAGAATTTTGTGAGAGTGCAGTTGCGTCTGGGGTCTGACCACACTTTGGTTGATTGGTTTAATTATTGTAGAGATGTGTGTTTGTTTGTGATGGAAGAGGAGAATGAGATGATAGGTGGGCCAGGGATTGAAGTTGAGATTGATGAGAGTAAGTTTGGGAAGCGTAAGTTTCACCGAGGAAGGCGAGTGGATGGTGTGTGGGTGTTTGGGGGTATCGAGAAAGAAAGTAACCGGATGTTTTTGGAAGTTGTGGAGAAGCGTGATGCAGATACCATTTTGAGTGTGCTGAGAAAGTGGGTGCGACCAGGATCGATAATTCATTCTGATTGTTGGAAGGCGTATGCTAGGCTGAATGAGATGGGATACGAGCATGTGACAGTGAATCATAGTAAGGAATTTGTGAATGCAGAGAATGGTGCGTGCACTAATAAAATTGAGAGTACGTGGAGAGCGGTGAAAGCGTCCCTGCCCAGGTATGGAACTACGAAAGGATTGTATGATAGTTATTTTGTTGAGTACACTGTGAGGAAGAAATATTTACGTTGTTCTGACGATCCTTTCGTTACATTTCTTACTTTTATCCGCCGTGTATTTGACCCCAAAACCCATCAATATTTTAAAATAGCTGAAACTGGAAATAAAGAAAATGACATCCCCCAAAATGAAAGCTCACACGATGTATTTAATTCAAGTGCGGATTTGTTCTTGTGAGGTAAGTCAATTCAATTGAGGCGCAGATTTGTTCTTGTAATATAAGGTAAGTGAAGCGTTTCGATATTTGTTATCACGCTGTGCTACATCATGTTAACTTACCTGTTTTGTTTATTGTATTGATTAGTATCCAAGGGTAATTGAATGGACCAAACAGCGATGTTGTTATTCGCTGGAGCAAACAAAAAATGGCGTCAGCGTTAGTGCTCGCTTCGATGTAAATATGGCTTCTGCGCATGTCTGTAGCTAAACTTCCGGGGACCCGTAAAGTGCAGTCTACCCCAAAATGTACATAAACATAACAACAACCGTGTAGTGACTGTAAAGTTAACTTACCGCAACCGAGGTCAGATCGATGATACTGTTCCATTTGTTGCTGCACAATGACATTGTTGTACCGTCCTCAATAAACTTCAACTAAGATGGCGGGTGCGAAAATATGACATGACGGTGTGACGTCATTCCGACGTCCATTCCCGCGGTAACATTTCTTTCTTCATGAACAACTTTTAATAATTAAATGAATAATTAATGCTTTTAAATAGTTGAGAGAATTGTTTTAAGATTGTGACTGTGTTTTGACGAAAATATTTTAGTTAAATCAGTTTGAAACTTTATGAACATATTTGGAAAATGTTATGTGTTATCTGGGTTACATTGGCCCGCTGTCGGCCCAGCGCTGTTCAACGATGCCGATTTTAGCCGACGGTGCCGACTATCAGCCGACGTCGGGCCGATGATGGCATGCTACCTGGGGTATAACCCATCCAGACACAACCTACACGACTGTAGTCCACAGTATAACCCATATAGACACAACCTACACGACTGTAGTCCACAGTATAACCCATCCTGACACAACTTACGCAACTGAAGTCCACAGTATAACCCATCCAGACACAACCTACACGACTGTAGTCCAAAGTGTCACCAAACCTGACACAACGTGAGAGACTGGCACTGCAGTCAGTATAACTTGATACAAGTATTTCATTTGCAAAGCACCGTTCACTTCATCACACCACCAAACACATGAATATAAAGTACGGTTATTGTCATTGTGATGGCAACATCTGTGCCCCGCCCAATCCATACCGTAGCACCGGTAGAAAATATACCACGTGTGTATTCCCGTTTTCTTTGTTGAACAAAGTCTCCACACCAGCGTAGCAAACGGAGTCTGAAAAAGCAACGGAGATGGAAAAGTGACAAATATAACCAGGAAATATATTTATAACGAGGATTTGTAGATATGTTTCGTTTCTGATACATTTTGTTTCTCAAACTACATTTAGTGTAGATACACATGGCGATTGTATGCTATATTGATTATGTGTCTCTTACGAGTTTCACAAACACCTGTCACTGGAAGTGACATGTCAGTCCGAACGTCTTTTGTTGTGAAACCAGTCCTTGTATTTCTATTGATATATACTGAACATAAAACGAAACTTCACACTTAGAGAAATGAATTATATTGACAATGGGTTGTACCAGGTAGTTGATATAGGCAATATTGACTCTGTACCATGTGGGACTTTTCTTATAACATGTCATTCATTATAATCCACAGATTTTCATGAAGTTGAAGTCCAGACATCAGTGAGACACTCACACGCAATACTCCAGCTATATGGCGGCGGGCTGTAATCTGTAAATAATGGAGTCTGGACCAGACATTCCAATGATCAACAGCCAGGTACTGATATAATCAACATGCGTGTGTAGTGAAATTATAGTTTCACATGTGCAACTCACACGCCTGGCTGTTCTACCAGCAAGTGACACACACCCACTCCCCACCCACCCCAATAGCGAAAAGTGACAACAACATGATGACCGTGAATTATGAGACAAATCATCATAGTTGGTCTGTCGATTTCGTGTGACTGTGCAAAATGTGGTTTTGTTGCAAAATTAGATTTTGTGTTAGTGAGCAATTCATCGGTCTCAAATGAAATCAAACGTACTGTAGTGTTTTATCATTATGATCAGGCTGACAGTGGCTAATACATTTTATATTGTTGGATTGTTTTCGGGTGGCAGAGTTTAATCCCACTATGATTTGATTCACGCGAACATTGTAAGTACTCGGAGGACAATTTCTGTTTTAGACAAAGTTCTTAATAAGAAAGTAAAGTGTTGTATAATTCGAAATTCGAGAATGTTCTTAGTACGACGATAAAGCGTTCGCTCGTCACGCCGAAGGTCCGGGTTCGATTCCCCACATGGGTACAATGTGAAGCCAATTTCTGGTGTCCCCGCGGTGATTTTGCTGGATTATTGCTACAAGGGGCGTACAACCAAAGTCACTCACTCACCCTGAGCCTGTCAAACCCTGTAAACACATTGTTATTTCGGTGGGCTATGCATTGCATATGGTTTGCTGTCGTTTCTACAACGCATGCTAAACATAACAAGAAACTTCCCATGTGTTACTATATATATGTTCGTCATAAAACATACCACAGAGTAAGGCTGGGACGGGTAACCCGGATACCCGAGACGGGTGGGTAATGAGTTAGACCGGGGTACCCGTCTCACTACCCGGACCCGTTATGATCACGTGACTAATACATCAAACAATGCAGCATGTTATTTTTCGTGATTAAAGGGTTGTATTGTCTTTGAAGATTCAGACATAATTTACAGCCACCTGTTTTGAATATAATACATGCTTAAGAGATTGAAAAACTCGAAATTGTAGCCTTCAAACTGAAGAATACATTGCTATTCCTTACAAATTTGATGTCAAGAATCAACATAACGGGTATCAGGTTAGAGTAGAGTATCAGGAGGTGTGTACCCTACCACAGAGCGTGGTACTAATGGCATGGATAAATTGGTTTATGGAAGCAACATGAAGTTAGAAACGGATTGGGGATTGGGGATTCAGGATTCGAATCCCGAATCTGAATTTTTTGTTCGCATTCGGGATTCGAATCCCCAATCCCAAATCCGTTTCTAACTTCATGTTCCTGAAACAAGATTAGGCATCAAGCTGCGCTTGGTGCGCTTGGTGCACCCTCCACAGTCAACAGTGACGGGATGGGATCACTAGTGGATTCCATGGAGACCAGCAGCCTGTATTGGAGTTTGATCAGTGCCGCGTTACCCCTCCTACCTCTCACATTCACAGCAGCAAGGCAACGTTGTCTCATTGACCGGCAACACTCGTAAACACAGCATGAGCCAACCTGAGCCATCACTGTACCAACATGGCGCCCAGCACTCGATGACAGCAAGGCGCTAAAATTGCTGCTTATTTGACTACAGACAAAGAATCAGTTGGTATTACGACACCAGATGTTGCTGTCAATCAATACACATGTTTCAATCATTTCAAACAAACACAACATATATCAATACTGGAGAATCACTAATATCGACTTTTGAATGGGCGTGAAGGAAATAGTTTCAATAGCGTCCTATACACAATTGCGTTATTCATGAACGAAAAGTATGCACAAAATGCCCGGGATTAAAATGATAAAATTAACATTCGAGAACCCTTAATCTCTTATGACTGCAAGCTGGGACCAAGTCAATATCCTGCGCACCAGCAGTATATTGATATCTTGAGGGGTTCCTTAGACAAAGTGAGGTGAAATTGGGTTTTACGTCGTGCTTGAGAATATTTCGCTCATATGACAACGTGCATGCATGTGTATGTGTATGTGCGGCTGCTTGTACTAGCCCAGACTTAAGCTGGTTTTATAGTGCTAGCCCACTGAGATATCATGCCGCAGTGAAGCATGAATACCCCACTCAGACACATTATACTGACTCCGAGCCGACCAGTCCTTCTTGTACCCATTAATGCCGAGCGCCAGACAGGGACCAACAAGTACCATATTTTAACGTCTTTTTGGTATGACGCGGTCGGGGATCGAAACCGCGACCTTCCGCTCTCCGGGCGGACGCTCTAACCACTACACCACGGAGGCGGTCTGTAGACAAAGTAGATACGAAGACGTTTCATACTAAGTTTGTCTTTGTGCGTTTAGAGGTATCATGTACTTTCAACGATACTTATCAAGTCAACATATCACCGACACTTATTGAGCCAACATGTCACCAACACTTATTAAGCCAACATATCACCAACACTTATTGTGCCAACATATCACTGACACATATCAAGTCAACATATCACTGACACTTATCAAGTCAACATATCACTGACACTTATCAAGTCAACATATCACTGACACTTATCAAGTCAACATATCACCAACACTTATCAATCCAACATGTCACCAACACTTATCAATCCAACATGTCACCAACACTTATTAAGCCAACATATCACCAACACTTATTGTGCCAACATATCACTGACACATATCAAGTCAACATATCACTGACACATATCAAGTCAACATATCACTGACACTTATCAAGTCAACATATCACTGACACTTATCAAGTCAACATATCACCAACACTTATCAATCCAACATGTCACCAACACTTATCAATCCAACATATCACCGACACTTATTGAGCCAACATGTCACCAACACTTATTAAGCCAACATATCACCAACACTTATTGTGCCAACATATCACTGACACTTATCAAGTCAACATATCACTGACACTTATCAAGTCAACATATCACTGACACTTATCAAGTCAACATATCACTGATGGTCTAGAAGCCAGACCCCCAAAATGGTGAAAATGTGGTGCAGTCTGAGGATTCCAAAAATATTATTTTTATGAAAATTGGTCAAACCAAACCAGAGTTATTAAAATAAACCATCAAGTATTCGGTTAAAATATTGCCATAACTGACATGACATGTTTCACCTTAAAAGGGCCCCTGCACGGTAGTCACGCACGGTAGCTGATGACAACCGGCTTCAAATCAAACCTAAATCATTCCTGATTGTGAAAAATCACATCCCGTTTGGTCGCCAGAACTGCACCACATTTTCACTATTTTGGGGGTCTGGCTTCTGGACCATGACACTTATCAAGTCAACATATCCCTCTCCCAGGCCTTTCCCCTGATCAAGCTGTCGGCTCTTGAAACATTCTGCAACAGGCCACGTCTCCAATAGTCGGCTCCATATGCACTTCACTGTTTCACATCTTGAGCATCAATTGCGGCCAGAGATCTCCATCAACGTAGTCAGCGCATACAATACTTCAGAAGAGCTGAATGGAATTAAGTACTATGTTCCTGCGGTATGACCGTGACCTCTTGACCTCTTGACCCTACTGGCCTTGACCTGGTGTAACCTTAGTTGATCAGTTCTATCATTCATGTAATGCCAAAAAATACAGCCACGTCAGCAACATTTCCCTGCTGTCTTCAATCATGTTTGGTTGTGGACTGTATCAGTTCATGTTTTCGAATTAAACTAAAATCGTTCTTTGGTTGGATTGTTTGTTTGTGCATCGGCATGTCACCTATCATGTAACCCCCTGGATGACATCGGCATGTCACCTATCATGTAACCCCCTTGACATGGATGACATCGACATGTCACCTGACATCATGTCACCTATCATGTAACCCCCTGGATGACATCGGCATGTCACCTATCATGTAACCCCCTGGATGACATCGGCATGTCACCTATCATGTAACCCCCTGGATGACATCGGCATGTCACCTATTATGTAACCCCCTGGATGACATCGGCATGTCATCTATCATGTAACCCCCTGGATGACATCGGCATGTCACCTATCATGTAACCCCCTGGATGACATCGGCATGTCACCTATCATGTAACCCCCTGATTGACATCGGCATGTCACCTATCATGTAACCCCCTGGATGACATCGGTATGTCACCTATCATGTAACCCCCTGGATGACATCGGCATGTCACCTATCATGTAACCCCCTGGATGACATCGACATGTCACCCATCATGTAACCCCCTGGATGACATCGGCATGTCACCTATCATGTAACCCCCTGGATGACATCGGCATGTCACCCATCATGTAACCCACAGGAATCCATCGACATGTCATCTATCATGTAACCCCCTGGATGACATCGGCATGTCACCTATCATGTAACCCCCTGATCATGTAACCCCCTGGATGACATCGGCATGTCACCATCATGTAACCCCTATCATGTCACCCATCATAACCCCTGGATGACATCGGCATGTCACCCATCATGTAACCCCAAGGATTCCATCGACATGTCACCCATCATGTAACCCCCAGGATGACATCGGCATGTCACCTATTATGTAACCCCCTAGATGACATCGGCATGTCACCTATTATGTAATCCCCTGGATGACATCGGCATGTCACCTATCATGTAACCCCCTGGATGACATTGGCATGTCACCTATCATGTAACCCCCTGGATGACATCGGCATGTCACCTATTATGTAACCCCCTGGATGACATCGGCATGTCACCTATCATGTAACCCCCTGGATGACATCGGCATGTCATCTATTATGTAACACCCTGGATGACTTCGGACTGTCATCTATTATGTAACCCCCTAGATGACATCGGCATGTCATCTATTATGTAACCCCCTGGATGACGTCGGCATGTCACCTATCATGTAACCCCCTGGATGACTTCGGCATGTCATCTATTATGTAACCCCCTAGATGACATCGGCATGTCACCTATCATGTAACCCCCTGGATGACATCGGCATGTCACCTATCATGTAACCCCCTGGATGACATCGGCATGTCACCTATTATGTAACCCCCTGGATGACATCGGCATGTCACCTATCATGTAACCCCCTGGATGACATCGGCATGTCACCTATTATGTAACCCCCTGGATGACATCGGCATGTCACCTATTATGTAACCCCCTGGATGACATCGGCATGTCACCTATCATGTAACCCCCTGGATGACATCGGCATGTCACCTATTATGTAACCCCTGGATGACATCGGCATGTCACCTATTATGTAACCCCCTGGATGACATCGGCATGTCACCTATTATGTAACCCCCTGGATGACATCGGCATGTCACCTATTATGTAACCCCCTGGATGACATCGGCATGTCACCTATTATGTAACCCCCTGGATGACATCGGCATGTCACCTATTATGTAACCCCCTGGATGACATCGGCATGTCACCTATTATGTAACCCCTGGATGACATCGGCATGTCACCGTTTATGTAACCCCCTGGATGACATCGGCATGTCACCTAGTATGTAACCCCTGGATGACATCGGCATGTCACCGTTTATGTAACCCCCTGGATGACATCGGCATGTCACCTAGTATGTAACCCCTGGATGACATCGGCATGTCACCGTTTATGTAACCCCCTGGATGACATCGGCATGTCACCTAGTATGTAACCCCTGGATGACATCGGCATGTCACCGTTTATGTACCACCCTGGATGACATCGGCATGTCACCTATTATTTAACCCTGGATGAAAACCTTTGTCACCTGAGCGTCACCCGGAACTCTCCTATATCACACTATTCTTCATCTGTACGTTATCTGTAAGTCACCTCAAACGCTCCTGAACGTCACAGTTCGTCACCTGTTGGATACCCGGAGCTCCCTTGAAACTCACCTGGATGTCACAGTTTGTCTCAAGTGAGCCCCCAACATTCTGTGTTAGTCGTAAAAGCGATCAGCTGGCCAACATGGTGACGTGACGTGTCATCTTACCCCACGACGAGGATCAGCTGGCCAACATGGTGACTTGATGTGTCATCTTACCCCACGACGTGGATCAGGTGGCCAACATGGTGACTTGATGTGTCATCTTACCCTACGACGTGGATCAGGTGGCAAACATGGTGACTTGATGTGTCTTCGAACACCGCGGCGGGGATCAGCTGGCCAACATGGTGACTTGATGTGTCATCTTACCTCACGGCGTGGATCAGCTGGCCAACATGGTGACTTGATGTGTCATCTTACCCCACGACGTGGATCAAGTGACCAACATGTTGACTTGATGTGTCATCTTACCTCACGGCGTGGATCAGCTGGCCCACATGGTGACTTGATGTGTCATCTTACCCCACGACGTGGATCAGGTGGCCAACATGGTGACTTGATGTGTCTTCTAACACCGCGGCGTGGATCAGCTGGCCAACATGGTGACTTGATGTGTCATCTTACCTCACGGCGTGGATCAAGTGACCAACATGTTGACTTGATGTGTCATCTTACCTCACGGCACGGATCAAGTGACCAACATGTTGACTTGATGTGTCATCTTACCTCACGGCGTGGATCAAGTGACCAACATGGTGACTTGATGTGTCATCTTACCTCACGGCCTGGATCAAGTGACCAACATGTTGACTTGATGTGTCATCTTACCTCACGGCGTGGATCAAGTGACCAACATGTTGACTTGACGTGTCATCTTACCCCCACAGCGGGAATCAGGTGGCCAACATGGCGACTTGATGTGTCATCTTACCCCCACTGGGTGGATCGATGCTCATAGAGCCTTGTAATAATGGAATCTGGGAATGTGCGCACACGCACACAACCTTTTGTCCTGAAAGTTTATTAAATGACCATTGAAACTTGTGATAACGGGTGAATATGAACTGTGCGCCTCCTTTCTCAAAAAGCTGTATCCGCCTGTGGAGTGGTGACGAATGATGTGGAAACGTACATTTTCTCGTGTAAACAGGGAGATACAAACGTGTGTTCGTAAATTGACGTCATAGTCCAACATTGCCTACTATGACGTCACAACGCCAAAGCTATATTACGTCATGAAATGTGTCAAAGACGTTAGCAGTCAGTGCTCCATTTGTGATCTTTCTGAATGAAAGAGTGTTACACTTTGGTAAGTATATCAGATATGTTTTTACGCTAAACGCACATTGTGTTGCCACGAATGAAATGGGATTATCTCTCTCCAAATCAGTCAGTCGGGCACCTTGTCAATCGTCATTCGAATGTATTTTGAAAGTCTATACTGACTGGCTTATGTTTACTGGAAAAATATTTCAGCATGTATTTACTTGTTTGTCTCAGAGCGTCCGTCATGTCCGTCATCGGACCCCCGTCAGTGTGTGTGTGTGTGTGTGTGTGTGTGTGTGTGTGTGTGCGTGCGTGGGTGCGTGCGTGCGTGCGTGCGTGCGTGTACGGACGTTTGCCTGCTTGTCCGTCTTCGTGCGTGTGTGTGTGTGTGTGCGTGTGTGTGTTTATAATATTATAGTTATCATACGTTATTTATTTATGTACTTGGACCTCTGCTTCAGATACACATGCAAGATATGTCAGCGTCGAACGACGGTTCCCGTGATTTAGCGCCGTGGTCAAGGTCTCCGTCGAGCAGCAACCTGAAACGTTCTTACGCGGCAGTAGTCTCCGACTATGAGATCGAAGCCATGAGTCTAACTGCTACTGTTTGTCGAGCAGTCAACGGGCGCATGCGCAAAAGCTACAGGAAGCAGGTAGGGAAACAAAATTCACTTGATTACCGCAACAGCATGAAGGCGAACGACGCGTTTTTTATCAAAACTGGACACCAGTGTTTTTATGGATCGTCACTGGCGTTTTCACATGACCTTTCCTTGACCCCAACGTCATTATGTCCGGACACCGACGCTCACAACACACTCATCCGCGACTACGACCTCCCGCTAGCCTGCCCTACCTGCTGGAGTGCGCAGAGAAACAGACAGCCACCTCATTCTAAGGTCAAGGTCGAGAAGAAGAAGGCTAAAAAATCGCCTATATGTAAATGAATGCTTAGAATTCGGCGGATCCTCTGCAGGAGACGTATATCTTCCAATAAAACAATATGTGAAAGGAACATAATTGAAGCAGCGAAGAGATGGTTTCAGGCCTTATTTGGCCTTATATTCCACACCTGGGTACTGCACGTTACCGAATCAGAGCAATTAACTGTACAGAGTTGCGGCCCTTACTCGTGCCAGAATCTGTTGTTTGCGATCCCATTTTTAGGATGAATATATTTTTGTTCTGTCAGGACCAAACAGTAACTAAGACGTTCCTCTGTTCTCAAATGGATTATTTCACAGAAAACACAGAACCGTTGATACAATGAATAACACTCATGCGTGCGCGTGTACAGACACACGCACCAATGGCGGTACGCAATCAGCTAAAACATTAGGCTACGTGCCAATGAATTGAATGAAATAATATTCCCGAATAAACTATCCTATTCTTGTATCCCTAACAATGTATTGCAAACTTACGTTAATATTTACAACGTTCAAGTCACAGAGCTGTAGAGGATCTATGTATTGGTAATAAGACGTTATAACATGACAGTTTTCCTTTCGCCAGTTATATCAGCCCGAGGGCCGAAATCATTCACTCACTCAATCACTCTGATATTGGGAAGTGGGTCCTTCTATCGACGCAGTACACACACATTTAATAGATCATTGACACACATTTTCGCTATATAAATTTGACACACATTTTCGCTATATAAATTTGACCTTAAATCAATTAAATTATATCTGTTTATAATAAAGAACTGGAATAAATGTGTATAGATGTTACCGGTCGATTGATCAATTCAACCTGTGCATCACAGCCTTGGGCGATAACTACATACAGAGTCCACGGCAATTCAAGACTGATTGGTAAACAGCTGTTTTCATTTTAGCGTTTTATAGATCGAAAACTGATATCTGTAACAGAAACAAGGCTCGAGAATTACGTAATTCATATAACTCGGACACGATAATATGTCATTCCCCGTCACTCGTTAGTTACTGTGTAAAGGTACAGGCATTTCATTCACGCACGTGCGTTTGTTTACATAACGTATCTTGCGGGCTTGTTTTGGAGATTTTACGTGCGCTTTCCGGCATTTCTAGGAAACGTACAGTTTAAATCGTTACGAATTTTAAAACAATACATTTATATATAACTGTGCAGTTGTGCGCAGTTGAGCCTTCTATTCCAGAAAACATTTACAACCTTCTAACGTCCTTCACACACAAAAACGAGAGTTATTCCCCTTTTCCGGCGGCATGCATACCGCTAAAGAAAATGGAGTTACCTCCCTTAGATCAATGTTTAACTAAACCTATTCTGTATCTTATTACCATATGTCACTAATCAACTGTAATCCCTAACATTGTTCTTACATGTCACATCTATGGCGATATGTTTAGTCTGACATTTCTAGAGCCCTTCATATTATATTCAGCGTGTACATTTTAACATTCAACCAGGGATATGATAGCACTGTTACACGCATGTACAGTTTAAGAAATATCATGAAGTCATATTTGAATATCTGTTTTGGCATTTAATGTAGCCGAATTTAATAAATTGTATTTGCATATGTACAAACACAAATCCCGTGTTTGATTCTCAAACCCTATTTAGAAATTTACGTTTGAGACTATAAGGTGAACAGAGGGTAATAATTAAGTAAGAATTTCTGTAGAATGTCACACACACACAAACAAGAAAACAAACAAACAAAAATTGCAATACAATGCACGAGTGATTCGGTGATATAGTACTATTGGAATCAAACAAGAATAGCTATCGTTTTTGTCTGAAGTGGTAGTTCCGATATCCATACGCTAATATGAAATCTGACGTTATTTGGTCGATCACGGAAAAGGTTGTTTAAGAAACCATCATGTAATATTGTGCTATTTTCACGCTTCACACCAAGGGGTGACAAACGGCTGGTGAACAGCGCCGTCAAGCACTTCAGGTGGAACTCAGCACAGCCAGGTGAGATGACCCCCACTTGTCAGGTAACAGTCGGTGCTGTGGAAATATTGTGAAAATAGCTTTTTCCGTAAACGACCCCAAAACTTCAGATCCTGTTGGATACAGAGGTTTCAGGACCATGTGTCGTATTTATGTTTTGTGCACTTATGGTTCCACTACACTAAATCAGTATCACATGCTCCCTGCGCGAGACCCGTATGTAAACAAGTGAAGAGAGACAGAGACATGTGACAGCTGTGATTGGATGAAATAGTGTAAGATGTTTGTTTTTTAAAAGCACATCCAACCAGTAGTTAAAACTGACCACAATTTTAAGTATTTAGTGCTTTCATTTTTATCACCATCACTTATGCTTATTGTGTGTACAGATATTTTCCAGTAGGTGACATTTGGTGCGGAACTGGGGTTGATGTGTTCCGCTTCCTGTGCTCGCAAAACGAGCCGGACAAGTTGGCCAGATATTGTGTTTTATGGTAGTTTAAAGGCCAGAGTGTACCCATGTGTACATGGAATGGCTGTTGATAGCCTGTTTTTTGTTTAAAAAATTATAAGGTTACTATAGAAGTCTATGGGAAAACATTTGGTGGTGTGTAACCTTATCCCTATTTCGAGATATTTAATCATTCATCGTTCTCATTTGAATCCGAACAGACTGGGTGGCGTGGCAAGTACGCAATCCGTTTGAAGCGCTCGTTAAATCTCCACAAGTTGTACAGTTTCAGACACTAAGGGGCATGGTGCAATATAACAATGATACATATTGTAATTAGGACTTTCTTACACTTTCTCGGTAGAGATTCAAGAACATTTGTTTGGTTGAGTCCCATCGGGAGTACTGAACGTCGGCGACCTGACCCACTCAGCCACCGGGCTTCCACAAAACGTGGTTGTCTACATCACGTACTTTATGTACAAGTGTAACGATGTAAGATTCAACTGATGACAAGAATTTAGTCAATAATTCTCTGCTGTATTCCAGACATCCAAAGTACAAGAAAGGTCATAATGCTGCTGTAAACTGTACACCATGTAAGGAAAAGGGCCACGGCGACTCCACAATGACAGAACGAGCACGGTGACTCACGGGATGTGGGTCTGGGTGTAGCTACCTGTCTGCTTGCCATCCTAGCAGGTGTTTCTGTGACGGGGTTTAACGGCGTGGAATACACACCCAGTCTGCCGCCAGACAAGGCAATCAGGCCAAAGTGTCACATGAATGCAAACAAAATGTAAAGTACATATACAATAAACACATACTCTTTTACATAACTAAAAGGGGGATCAAAATACATCGTAAACATAGATTTATAAACACACACACACACACACACACTCACACATTTCATAACATAATTTACGTAAATAGATACAATGCATGGTCCTGATGACATAAAAGCATTTAAAACTTCATTCTTAAGTCATTATAAAAATGGCAATTTAAAAGGATTTGTATTTCATCCTTTACACTTGCTGCAAAATGGGCATACTCTGATTCAGAGGTTTGGCGGGGGCTTGTTGTTTCGTCTTGTTTCGACTAGGTTACCGCAGCGTCGTTTGGTGAGATTTTGTCTTGTGTTTCTAATCACTATAGTCTTTAAGTTTCTCTTGGTGTCGATCTTGGTTGAATCTCGACAGGTGGTGTACAGGTAATCAGATCCATCAGTCATGGCTGGATGTTCACGACGTGTGGAGTTGACAAGTATGAATATTGTTTTATTGATTCAAACAAACCGAGACGGCATACTTCCCTGAACCCGCCCCCCCTTGGTGTTTGTCTGAATCACACCTGGTACAGTGTGTAGTGGTAATAATGCCCGGGCTATATATTATTTTGTTTACAATTCCGATTTCGTCCCCTAAAGTATTATTGTTGGAACAAGCTAAGGTACCCGGGTTAGAATTGGTCTTCAGTAACCCATGCTTGTCGTAAGAGGCGGGATAAGGTGGTCAGGCTGCTAACTTGGCTGACACATGTCATCGTATCCAAATTGCGCAGATCGATACTCATGCTGTTGATCACCGGTTTTACTGGTAAAGACTTGACTGTTTACAGACCGCCGCCATATAGCTGGACTATTGCTGAGTGCGACATTAATCAACGAACAAACACAATCAAACAAGGTAATTCTGACACAGAAAGATGTGACACGAAATATCGTAAGTCGTCTATTGTATGATAGTGAGAGAGGCACCTGATTCACTTATATTACGAGTACTTCAGCCCAACCTCTGTCTTGCTTTTCGGAATCATCGCCTACATCGTTTTAGAACCGGTCTTGGCAGTGATATTGTTTGCTGTTTGAATAAATCTATTTTTAGGTTTGAATGTCATGGATGGCATCGACAATTCTCCTTTGTAATTCCTGTACAGGTAAGATACATGAAAACAGAGATTTAATGACAGCGTTACAAAAACACAATTAGCGGCCATTTTGGCGATAATTTGGTACCTGGACTGACTGACTGACTGACTGAGTTTAGTTTTACGCCGCTTTTAGCAATATTCCAGCAATATCACGGCGGGGGACACCAGAAATGGGCTTAACACATTGTGCCCATGTGGGGAATCGAACCCGGGTCTTCGCCGTGACGAGCCAACGCTTTAACCACTAGGCTACCCCACCGCCCCTGGTACCTGGACATTGGGCTGGGTATAATAATGAGTACAGAGGAAGTACTAATGGTTAAAGCGTTCGCTCGTCACGCCGAAGATCCGGGTTCGATTCCCCACTTGGGTACAGTGTGTGAATCCCATTTCTGGTGTCCCCCGCCGTGATATTGCTGGAATATTGCTAAAAACGGCGTAAAACCAAACTCATTCACTCAATTTAATGTTGTATGTAACACATGTCTATCTATTTATATGTGTCGTATACAACATACAACATTATACACAACATATATATCATCCAAAACTGGCTCCCACAGTAGCGATACAAGCGATATCTGTGTGTGTCGTATACAACACACGACATTATACACAACATATATATCATCCAAAACTGGCTCCCACAGTAGCGATACAAGCGATATCTGTGTGTGTCGTATACAACACACGACATTATACACAACATATATATCATCCAAAACTGGCTCCAACAGTAGCGATACAAGCGATATCTGTGTGTGTCGTATACAACACACGACATTATACACAACATATATATCATCCAAAACTGGCTCCCACAGTAGCGATACAAGCGATATCTGTGTGTGTCGTATACAACATACAACATTATACACAACATATATATCATCCAAAACTGGCTCCCACAGTAGCGATACAAGCGATATCTGTGTGTGTCGTATACAACACACGACATTATACACAACATATATATCATCCAAAACTGGCTCCCACAGTAGCGATACAAGCGATATATGTGTGTGTCGTATACAACACACGACATTATACACAACATATATATCATCCAAAACTGGCTCCCACAGTAGCGATACAAGCGATATCTGTGTGTGTCGTATACAACATACAACATTATACACAACATATATACAAGCGATATCTGTGTGTGTCATATACAACATCAAAGTTTTCAGTCCCACAGCTAAGATAAATTTAATCGATGACACTCTTGCAACCAAACACTACCTGTCTCTATGACCTTTCTATTGAAAAAACTGGGGACTATTTACTGAACTGCACTGAACTCTTCAACAACTGCTAATAATAAGGATTAACTGGGTGTGAGTGGACGTATGGGGTTACGCCCTGATTTGGACTATAACCACTTCTCTACTTAACAAGGAACTTACTACACAGAGGTCATTAGCAACAAGATGGCTTTGTGAAGCTGTTCCCTGTCAGGATA